TATTTAGATGATTCACAAAACTAGAAGAATTGTCTGTGAACATACAAAAACTTCACTTTACAAAATATATTTTATTATACTGATTGTTCTAAACATTTCATTTAAGAAATATGGAAAATTCCACGTGTCAGAATATTTAGAGAATACTTTTAAATAATAATCTATTCAAATTTCAATCCAAATCCTCTTCCACTATTTAAATTGCATTTGATTCCTCCAGTTTGTTCATTTCTTTCAAATATTTTAAGCAATATTCAAACTACTTATTATATAATAAAAACACTTTTAAATAAAAACTTCTGCGAATTCTCCCTCAATATTTCTTAAGTTACATTTGAATCTTTCAATTTTATTTTATTTTATTTATTTTATTTAATCAGCATTCAAAATACCATAAAAATACCATACTTTTAATAAAAATCTATGCAAATTTCAACTCCTCTCAACCGTGAAAATTTCGCGGCAACTCCGGCCACGTGCAAATTCTATTTTAAAGTAGCAGATTCAAACACCATCCTTGTAAATCACATCCGCTTGCGGCTCGTTCAAGAGCGCCATTATCATTTGACAGTTGTTTACGCGAGATCTTTTAGTATACTTATAAATCTTGGTTCTTTGGGGGAAACATTCGGCGGTGCCGACCATTGCCGATGAAAAGTCCCTTCGAATCAGTCATTATGACCGCAGAATTTTCAGTTTTCAGCCTGACGACAAGAAGCAATTTTACAACCTTGTTTTTCACATCTTTTACGATCGATGTAATCGTAAAATTCCAGGCAGATACACGCGCGGATATGCATCCTTGAAATAATTATGCACAAATATAGATTGTCGACAGATATAGGACGAAGGAATTTTATTCGAGAATTATTTCACCCTATAAAAAGAATATTCCAAGTTGGAGAAGATTTTGAACAGTATTTAAGATTTTCGAGATGCAGGGTCAATCACGGAAGTTGTATTGTTCAAATCAATTTCCTGAAATTTTTCTAAAATATATCCTCTTCTGTAATAGACAGGATAATTTTAAAATTATTAAATTGTAAAATGTTCAAGTTTTAATGCTCTATCGTGCTGACATGAAAAAATTGATTCTACGTTCTATTAAAATTACACTTTCCATACTGGGGATGAATTTTCTTAGGAGAAGACTTGCAAAGAAACTTTTATCTTACTGTACGTACCGATCTCTCTGTTTGTGACACTGAAAACCAAGGTTGTGCAAGGTTAAATGCACTAGTTTTGAGAAATATCGATATCTAACTATACATGTGCAACTGTTCGGAAATACCATTTCCTCGACGAGACTTGATAAAAATTATAGTCCACCCGCTAATAACACCGCGATTAATTAAAGTAAAGAAAGGAGTGTGAATAACAAAAAAATCATATTTCGATCCACCTTTCAATCGGGAATCGATGATGTTGAATTTTCCCCACAGCTACTACTCGTCGATCGTAATCGATGAAAATTCTTCCCCGCCCCCCTTTTAATTAACCGTTTTCGTGCACGAGACGAATGATGTAATTAAAGAAAGAACAATCAGGAATCAATATTATCGAAGGAATATCGGCTTCCCTTCCGGCAGCTCTACAGGCCTGCCGACTTGCAATGATTTACTCCGATCGATAATCTGATATGCAAATTATATTGGTAGAGATCGGTTACCTGCAACTTTAAGCGGCCTCCACAGCGTGGATACACGGTTTTAAAATGTTGGTTTTAATCCGATGAACGGGTTCAACGAAACAAGTATTTGCACGATGGATGCAATACTTTTCTCGAAACTTCTCGAAACTCGAGAAATCAAGAAAGCGCGGATGACATTTCGCTTGCCCGTTTCGATTTTAAAACGATACGGGTGTGTTATCGGGGGGAGGGAAAGGTCGATACAATGTCGTAAACGAGATTTCGACATCGCGTGAACTTTGATCCCTCATGAATGAGAGAACTTCGATCACCATGTTTTTCACACCGAGAGAAAGTCTCTCTAGCAAGAAAAATATCGAATAAATTGCTAACTATTTAGATGTTACGAATTATAATTAATTCCTCTTGCGAGGACCAATAATGATAATTTTACCTGCTTATTCATCGTATCTTTGTACAAGATCATCCTTTAGAATTTTATCGTTGGAAAATTATTCTAAATCCTAAGAAATAAAAAGAACATGGAAAACAAATGTTACAGTGCAGATATGAGAGAAGGTTCAACGGGGTTGGAAAACGGGGTTTCGATCGTGCATCATCCTTAATTATCATCCTCGACGCGATAACGCGCTTCTTTCCCATAAATCATTTCTCATGAGCGACGCTTCCTCGATCGAGGAATGCACATCGAGGGCAGAAATCGTGGCCTTGGAACGAAAGGAAACACGACACAAGAAGCGCATTAAACGAAGAGGAGGCCGCGCTCCTCGATGATCCATTCCATCCGCGCGCACTGTTTGCCGACCCGCTCCTTCTCGTAATTGCGCCTGCCTTCGTCCACCGTTCGCAATATCATCGTCCAACGATTCGATCCACCCACGCGAAACTCGGCGGTGATGACGCGAGGTCTCTCTAGCCGACCTCGAGACGATCGTATTTTAAGCCGTGGATCGACCCGGCTACGTGGGTAGCTGATCTCCATCAAATCAATAATTATCGATACGTGGCAATAATTGTATATCACTGATTAATACCTGCGCATACCGTCCCGCAGGTAATAACATTCCTGCTTACAAATCGACCGTTCATCGGTTGAATTTTTATCCGTTGTACGTCTCAGTGATTCTCAAATCTCGTCTCGTCCTTCCGCTCGTCTGCCATCCATTTCTTCTTTCTTCCAGTCGCGTTAATCGATTAATTCGAGATCGAAGTGCGATCGGTATCGATTTAAAGTTATTCGTCGTTATTATTGTTAAAAAAAAAAAAATTGGGAAATTAAATTTTCCTGTTCGCGGAATATATGGTCTGGAGACATTCGAGACACCATGTATACTCGACGATTTTATACGATCACGATGCTTGAAATTCGGCTGCGTCATTCTTGGAGAATATCCTCGTTAATCACTCTCGCGTTAGGGCTTGTTGATAAAACACATGATCGGTGGAAGAGGGAGAAAGAAGAAGGGTTGATTGCTCGGTCTTTTTGCCCTTCTTCTTTTTTTTTTTTTTTTTTTCCTACCAGTCGATCGTTTCAGCTCCTTGGCGCAAATCTGTCAACACCGTAATAGGATGCGCCATTTAAAATATCGTCAGATATATGGGCATAATATGCAGATATGCGCGTAAAAACGTGAACCTCGTTTAATTCTTTTCTTCTTCTTTTTCTGGACTCTCTTCTATTTATTTTGCAACGTGATTCTTGTACCTTTGATGATTTTTTGGAATTAATAACGTTATAACCGAACTTCAATTCTCTTCGAACAGTTTGTGAACCTATTTACTTTTGATCGAGAAATATTTCTGAAAGTACAAAAGACAAGTTTTCTTTCTACGCTTTCAATTTATTTTAGGGGGAAAGCCGAATATCAAATTTCAATATCGATTTTATATCCAATCTTTGTCCAATTTTACTTTTGGATTAAAATTTTGGAAAAAAATTCGTAAAATACGATTACTCCCCGCTTGATACGTGGCGTATCATTGACGTATCGAGTAATAGAAACTCTTGTGGATAATGGAGAGGATTGCGGATCGCGCAAAGAAATGACCGCGAATCGCGTTCGACGATAAGAAGGCCGGGCAATATAATGCCGTTCTCTATGTTTTATGTATGAGAACAAGATTACTCGGCCACCACCCACTTGCTCTAGGCTCTACCACCGCGACCTATTTCTGCTCCAACTTGATACCGCACGTTGCCTCGATAAAAGACAATACCGATTGAACTTGCGCCGATTCGATCCAACCGATTGAGATTTAAGGGCGAAAAAACGCGGTGAAACGACTCGGTGAAGGAATTAAAAGCACATGCGCGCCTCGTCTTGAGGCTGATATCAATTAATTCGGCTGAATTCAAAATGGATGACATTTTTTGCAAAATGTGGATATACTTCGAGGCGAGATACGAATAAATAATTGAATGGAAAAAAGTAAAATTTAAGGGAAAATAGAAGGGTAGAACGATAACTGTATATGATCGAATATCTTTGTTATTTTCAAAGATAATATAATAAAACGGTGTGGAAGAAGTTACTAATCATTTTTTTGCAAGCAGAGGGTTTCAAATCGCTCGCTGTACTTTTTGTCACTTTTTGTATTTTCAAGATTCTGTTCTAGTAAATTTAATAAGAAAAATCTTATCTTATATAGATAGATGTTATGATTGCCATGCATCGATGCAATGTTAGCAAAGCTAACTACTTCTTATCATTTCCGCATAGATTAACACGTGTAGTTCTGTTTTATATCTTGTAGTATATATACATATACTCGATTATCGAAGATATTATTGAATCAAACGTGATTATTGAGAAGAACGATTCATATTTTCAGATGCGATTGTCAGAAAGGAAAAGAAAATTTATTCCATTTTCGATATATTTTTTTTTTTTTTTTCTATACTCGGATTAACTTTTCAACTGCTTTCTCACACGCATCCTATACAATTGTAATTAATTAATACGCATTGTATTTGTATTTGTATTTATACAATATGCATTTTTGCACACGTTACCAATATTAATTTGTAACTTCTAATATGAATTAGCATATAAAAATTTACAAATGTACAGAACGAAAAGAATTTTCCGGAAGAAAATGTCCAACCAATCAGGTAAACAAATTTATACAAATGGCCAATAGTTTTCGGGGTTTCCCTTTCCCCGAAAACGGAATACCCAATCGGAAGTCATTTTTCGAGTTCGTCAGGTATAATGAGATATCCCTACCACCGAAATTAGGGATGGTCAAGATGGTCGGTCGTATAAATAGTCGACTTTGTCAAAATTTGTCATTCAAGTGTTACTAGTCGTAGAAGAAAGTGACATCATGTTACTTGATACTTTCAATATTACTTCGCCTCCCGCAACCAAAATGGAAGAGTAAGGGCGCCATGAAAGACAACATTGGAGACATCGATCTCGAGGTATTTATTAAATTATTTTATATTATTGATTAAAATTTCAACAATTGTTAATTATTGGAGTTAGACTTATATTTAGTAATATTCCAAATTGTCATTTGTATATAACATATAATGTTTTATTACAGCTCTTGGCAGTGTTCGACGATGTCCCAATGCTGTCACAATTAGAGAACATGATCTTAGACTCTAGTTATTTTGACATCAATCTCTTTGATCATATCTCTAATGAGACACTTGGGACAAACAGTCAACACGATCAAGCCAGCAGCTCGCAAACTACTTACATACGTCAATCGGGGACCGAGGACAGGGCAGGGGGAACAGGACATCACACGCAGCTTCCAGACAACGGGCACAATTTCCTAGTACCGAAAATATTCAAATGCATGTATTGTGATAAACAGTTTTACAACAAACCAGCATGGCGCAAACATCATGTGAAGCATGTGAAGCAATTACTGCGATGCCAGTGTTGTGGAAGGCGATGTTTCAATGTTAGCGATCTTCGTAGGCATTACAAGTATTATCATTATTACGATCCACGTGAGGTTATAATGGATCATCGTTGAAAATTATTCGCCATAGTTTAACAGTTCAAAAGGAATTTCAATTTTTAGAATTTTCGTTGAAAAAAATAGTTGAAATAGTGAAAAATAGTGCCGGTTTACAGTGATTAGTGATCTTTGGTAATATAATTTTTTTTTTATCATTTATTTTAATTTTTTTTTTTTTTTTTGATTTAATAGAATTATCTAGTGTATATAATTTTTTTATTTTTTTATTTTTTTTATTAGTAAAATTTTAATTTTACAAATTTTTTTTTTTTTTTTTATTAATCGGAATAGAATTAGATTTATCTAGTGTATATAATTTTTTTTATTTATTATTTTTTTTATTTTTTTTCTATTTATTTGAAAATTTCGATTTTACAAAATTTTTTTTTTTTTATTTAATCGGAATAGAATTAGATTTATCTAATGTATATAATTTTTTCTATTTTTTTAATTTTTTTTATTTTTTTTCTATTTATTTGAAAATTTTAATTTTACAAAAAAAATTTTTTTTTTTATTTAATTAGAATAGAATTAAATTTATCTAATGTTGTGTATATAATTTTTTTTATTTTTTTTTTTTTTATTTTTTTTTTCCTACTTATTTGACAATTTTAATAGTACAAAATTTCTTTTCTCTTGATTTAATAGATTGAATAGAATTAGATAATGTTGTGTATATTAATTTTTTTTTTTATTTTTTTTCTATTTTTTTTTACTTTTATTTTTTTATTATTTATTTGACAATTTTAATTGTGCAATATTTCTTTCCTTTGATTTAATCGAAATAGAATTAGATTTATTTAGTAGTTTTTAGTATTCAGTATTTTCTTTTAATATTTTGTATTGACGTATCTGAGAAGATAATTCTCAGGGTTAATATTATCAATAGTATTATAGATATTTAGAGGTATTTATTATTGTATATATATATATATTTTTTTAATATCAAAGAATTTTTAAAAGTATGTATATTGTAGAAAGATTTGCAATTGCTCAGGAAATTTTTTATTAGCTTTAAATAGAACAAAAATTCAGTAAAGACTGTTATAGAAGACTGTTTAGGATAAAATGAAAAGAAATTTTATATCTTTTTATAAATCATATAATGCATAATAATTAATAACAAGTTGTATGATGAAGTAACATTCCTTTTGAAACGTTAATAACTTTTTACATTTGAATTTACATTTTAAAATTTGAAATTCGTTACAATTTGTCAATTACTGATCGACTAGTAGCACCTGAATTATATCAAATTATAAATTGTATAAATATTATATTGTATATTATTGTAAATTATTGTATATTATATTGTATTTTTTTATGTATTTAATGTATTTAATGTATTTAATTTTATATATATATATATATATATATATATATATTCTTATATTTAATTGTATATATAATTTTAAAAATTGTAAAATATTATAGTAATATTATTTTGAAAGATATATTTTCTAACAAATTTTGTGATATGTAGTAAACAAGAAATTTTGTAATATGTAGCAAACAAGAAATTTTGTGATATGTAACAAATAAGAAATTTTGTGATACGTAATAAATAAGAAACTTTGTGATATAATAATAATATTTATCAAAAAAATCGGTAATAGCTTCTTTTTATAATATCTAATCTTTTTTTATGTACATATATAAATTAATGAATAAACTTATGTATAATATTAATACTTTTATACTATTAAATTTTCTCAATTGAATAAAAATTTTCTTGTTAATTAAAACCTAAAAATTTGTGTTATTATTAAAACCTTTACAGATGAAAGAAAAAAAGATATAACGTGAATTTGAAAAAAGAAAGCATGCAACATTCACGTGAATCACGTTGAGTCATTTGGGACGAAAAGTAAACGACAACTGATAGAATTCAAGACTGAGATATTTCCTCTAAAGAGAATACTGATAAATGCTGACAAAGGCAAAGTTAAAGACAAACGATTAGGTCAATTTCTTTTCTCTTATTAGATGTTATTATTTTTAATATTTCATTCTTCCTGAAATTTCTTAGCATTTAAACAAATCTGAAAGACTCGATATAAATATTTCGTCGAATTCTTCGTAACGAAACTTTATAATTAATTTTTTATAAAAAGTTCGTACGAACAAAGTAAGAAATAAAATAAGAAAATATATATTGTTCACTTTTTACGAACTAAAGACGTTTTATTTATAAAATTATATATTAAATTGATTATATTGATACACGTGTATCAAATTGTTAATATATTAATTTCTACAAAAATTGCATAAAAATTTTTTACTCCTACGAAATTATATTCAAAGCTATTTTTTATGATAATTTTTATTTTTAGTCGATAAATGACAGAATAAGATCGTTACCTCAAGATATGACAATAGAGGCAAATACAGATTAATAAAAATAAACGATATGATTTATTATTCTTGCTCTCTGAGTGATTTGCTGAAATATTTGAAGATCACTTTCAGACCTAGTTGAAATACAATTTGAAATACTAATAAGTAATGTAGCACAAAACTCGTAAAGAAATAAAACGCTACAGAAGACGAATTCATTTGCTACCAGTTTATTAAAAATTTCTTTTATAAATTCCAATTGTTGTCATTGTCGATAAATCTTAGAACGAAATCTTAGAAATCAAAATTTAGAAATTAATCGCAGGGATGAAAAAACAGATTTATATAATTTCCCTTTCGTTACTTTTCATGAAAATATTAATCGAAATGAAAATGAAAAAAAAAAGAAAAAAGAGAAAAAGAAAAGGAGAGAAAAAGAAGAAAATATTAAAACAAGGAGAGAAAGAGAAAAAAATAAAAGAGGAGGAAGATAAAACATCAAAAAGAACAAAAAAAAAAAAGAATACATTATAACTGCATATATATTTATTCAATATAATAATGACTTTTCAAAATCAAACTTTTCACTTGTCAAAACAGGAAGAAATAGCTGTACGGTCAATAAATCAAGATTTTGTCAGTAAGGAAGAAAAACAGGATATACCTGTATTTATACCTGTATTTAGTGAATAAACATTTTGTCATAATTACATCCTTATCGATGGACTTTGAATTGACACACGCATAATACACCTGCAAACTAACACCGATTTACCGTTACGGTCAAAACCCATAATACACCTGCAAACTAATACCTGCGAAAAAACTTAATCTAACTGTAAAACTAAAAATCAATTATCACTTTGTGTATCACTACATATTTGCAAATTCAAGATTTTTCTAGTCCTTCTTCTTCGTTCAACGAAGTTTTTTCTCATAAATAATAAGAAAAATATAATATTTTATTCTTTTTATTTTTACTTTGTTTATAAGTTAACAATATTTAAGAATATTTTCTATTGAAATGAAATAACAAAATAATCGAAATTATCGTAATATCGTTATTTGAACGTGAAACTTCGGATATGAAATTCTGAAGGATCAAGACGAAAACGAATATTCTTGATATAAGTCGAAATAATTTTAATATAATTTATTACGATCGGAAATATGATCGTTGGAACATTAGAGAATATCGCAATACTTCGCAATATTCTCATTTTTAACAAGTGTTAAATCCAATCCTTCATTCTTTTCTAAACAAAAACGCATAGACAATCTTCTTGTTTTCCTCTTTTGGTTTTAACATTCTAATTCTGTCGATCTTATTTCCTATGTTTTTCTTTTTTTTTTTTATATTTTCTTTATTTTCAATTATCAATATGTGCGAATTTTAAGTAAGAATCGAATCTTCTTCTCGTTAATTCTGTTTGCTTCTTCTTAGCATCCGATAACAACTTTAGAGTGTTTTTATAAATGTTTACTAGTAGATGGCTGTAATCTCTCTTTATCTATCCTTTTAGAAAGGTACTTAAGATATTATTATAAATATTTCTTGTTGATCCATTATTTCTCCCAACGAAATGAACTGAATAATTAAAAATAGCTAAGAATTTCGATGGATATTAAACTTTAAAAATATCTTGACGATCTCGAATATTAATGTAAACCACGCATAAAATTGAAATTTGTACTATAATATGGGGCACAACTTTTTCTCTGAAATCGGGGGGACAAATGTTAAAAATATTTTTTTATGAAAACTGATATACGCAAAACAACAAAAGAATATAATAGCATGTAATTCGTATGTCTTTTGTCTAAAATTGATAGTAATTTTATATGATATATGGGCTTCTCGGCAAGCGTAATTAATCATGCAAGTGCGAAAGAAAATCAAATCAATTTGTTTTATCTTCTTTATAATATACACAAATAAGAACATTGGTAACGTATCAATCGTCAAAGATGCTGTTTAACGTTAGAAGACCTTATCTAATTATTTACGTTTGCATCGCATTAAGTATATTTTTAAGTTTATTTTTTTTTCATTTAGCTATTCGAGATTATTGATATAAGAAATTTTATTTTTTAATTGGATATCAATGTTGCGTTAACTTGCTAATATTTTAACATGTAATAATTTTTAAAATTCCTGTATCAAATATTATCAGGATTATTCGTTTATAGAAAATGATTTATTCGTTCAAAATTCTATATCCAAAATTTTAAAAGAATGATCATTTTTTTAATAATATTTTTTTTTCCATCTTTCTATTAGGAGAAAAGATATTTATACACGTTATTTATATTATTATTAAATTTTATAATATATTTAAAAATGACGAGATGCAGAATAAAGAAAAAAATCAAAACTGACAAAAAACCAAATAAAAATAAGATAATTGATAACAATTATCGATTTGACATTAAGAGATATTTGATGACTATAACAATATAAATGTCTTAACCACTTGATGTAAACGTACATTTCTTCATGTTCTTTCAAACATTGTTCATCACAATATGTGCAATTATAAATTTGTGATTTCAGAAAAACAAAACTGAACGAATTTATTCTTTGTTAAATTTTTTGTAATATGATTCTAATTCTACATATCGAATTTATCAAGCGATTCTTCTTCATTCTTCTCATAAGAATATTTCTACTCTTCTTGTTG